AATTACTCTAAGTTGCTGGCTTGATCTCGCCAAGACCAGTCCTTTCACAGAAGACAAATAAAGCCATCATGGAAGTGCTGGGTGACGTTATCTGCTACTAACTGGTACACAATTGTGCTTGGACTGACTGATGAAACCAGCAAAAGCTGCACAGACTTGTGTTCATGGACACATATAGGCTTCTGAAAATGCAGATGGTGAGGTGCATCATCCCACATCACATAGTATGTATTTTTCTCCAAAATCAAAAAGCTTTACTACTTCGCTAGGGGCCTAGGCTTATTCAGTTTAACATCAAAGCAAAAACAAACATAACTTCATTGGAAAAACTAATATGTTTCTTTTAAATGGTATAAACTGTGATTTGTCAAGTGTTTATCTTGGCTACATTCAGATGGCTTTTATGGGGTACAGAAACACACTTTTTTCCCCTAAGAGCCAAGCTATCTCCCTGTCAAATTCAGCATCCTTGTCCCTAGCAAGGGGGGTAGAAAAGCGACTCAAAAAATAGTTGTAAAAATTTAACCTGGACAAAGATGTATTCAACAGCATTCTTAGAAATAGCTAACAGATTTAAATGAAACTCCCTTCCCTCTAGCCCACAAGACAGACAGAAACCTGATATGGAAAATATCAGCCCAAACAGTTAAAGAGTTTGGAAAAGTTGCAAGTGAAACAGTCTTATAAAGAAAATAACTATAACCCAAGTCCTAAAAGACAGGCCTTTAAATACTGTTTCTAAGCCAACAATAATGCTAATTAGATACCATTATCTGCTCCACCTATAATATATGAACTGGATCTTAGTCAATTGTTTACATGATTACCAGGGCAATTATAACCTATAGCATATGCTGAATTGTCAGTTCAAAGTGCTTTTATTTATTTAAGTGTGTTGTATAGCTGGGGAAGTGAAGTGCTGTGTCCCCAGTAGTCAGGTTCAAGACTTTTTCCATACGCAGACTTAAATGTGCAAGCATAAAATCAGATTCACTACCTTCACTAACTCAAGGTATTTAAAAAAAATATACCTTTATATACTTTATGGATTAAAAGGGGTTTCTTTGTTCCAGTGGAAAATTCTTGATTTTTAGTTGTAAAATATCCTGCAAAACATAATTTGAACTGTTTGCACCTAGGAATTTCCTCATCTCATCCAAAAGTACACACAACATTCTCTGGACAAAATATTCTTTCCAATTTCTGGCACTGAGAGCACTATTGTACTTCCTCCCACAAATCCTTTAAACAGCATCTTTTTGCCTCTACTCCAAAATCCACTTCTCTTCCCCTCACACCAGGCTGCCCCTTTTCACCAGCACTCCACCGGGACTCCTACAAGATGCTCCGACTTTGCTGTTGTTCCTCACAGCAGAAGCAGTGGTAAGGTCATTTTTAGTCTTTGTTGGTAAGAGGGTCACCTTGCAGTTTCTAACTGTGAAACAATTGTTCAGGTGAAAGATGGATCCTTTTAGGTACCAGATTGGTCATTATATAGGCAGCTTTAAGCTAGTGCAAGGGATGGCTAAAGGATTATCTTTAATAAAACCTGGGATTGTCCCTTACAAAGCCCCAGAGTGATTTGAAGAGCTCTTAGAAATCACCTCACTCTGTTCATCAGTAATTTGGGCAACAATTAATTCCCTATGCTGATGCAGGACAAGGTGTCAGGAGTCATGTCTTATTCAATGAGGAGTCTGAAAAGACTATTAGGCTTTGCAGGGTGCCTAATAGTTGAGGAGGCAATCAGGACTTGTAGTAGAGATATCTTTTATTAGACCAACAAGATTTTTGCAAAAAAAATTCTTCAATTACAAGCTTTTAGTCACAAACACCTTTCATTGGGCATTGGAGAAAAGATTGTAAAAGTTCTCCCAGGTAGAAATGAAAGTCTGCATTTCAAAGGATTTTACAGGAGTCAATAGAGGATAGTTGAGGAAGCAGAAGTGTGGGGGTCTGTCTGCCTGCCTGCTATACTTGCTTAGTGCACTGTCTAAGGATTGCTGGGAGAATTCATTCTGTTCTTTACTTCACTTTCCAGACACAGCAAGGGGCACCTGTTTACAGATTCTGGTGTGAAAAGTAGGATTAAAGGTTCAGGTAGGATTAAAGTTTCAGTTTCAGCAATTCCAGTATCACTGAGTATTTGGTTTATAAGAGATCAACACCTCCCACCCCACCTGCCTGAAAACCTTAGGATGCAAACATCAAGATGGGGGTGTATTTGGCTGATGCTTCAAAGAACCCATCTGCTGTTTTCAGACTGGTTTCACCCATGCATACCTCATTTAAATCTCCCAGCTTCCAATCTGTTTATAAATTTTGTAAAACACAAACTAGTATAATTCTTAATACAGAGATAACAGGCTTATGCAGCATCATTTTTATAGTAACTTCTCAATGTAAACTTTTTTAAAGATACTCATGCCACAGTAATGAGCATAACAAAGAAGTTAAAATATCCATAGGAAGTAAGATGACTGCCTTGGCGCTTGTTGGAAGCTGTTGTGGTGTATTTGTTCTTCTGTTGCTGGAAAGAAAAGAAAGAAACCGGTGGTGATAAAAAAAAATGCTGAGAGCTGGAGTTCAGAAAGAAACTCAGATAGGAATGAGGCTTAAAATCCAGGTGTTGACTCAAGGCATCAAAGTAACCTACACTCATATACATGGGAAATGAGAAGACTAGAGAAAATGCCACAACTCAACCTACTGCAAAATACACTGCCTCCCAGGGCCTGGTTGTTGTCCTTGGTGCACAATACAGAGAAGCTTCTTTAGCAACCCTAAATGTGTTGGCAAAGCAGGAACAAAAGTGACAGCCCTAACCATTTCCAAATTGAGCCTGTGAGGAACTGGAAAGCTCCATTATTTTGTTAAAAGCAAAGTGATCAATTAAGCTGCAGAAAGGGTGGACAACATTTCACTCTGCCTTACAATCATTTTGAGATTGATGTTCTACAAAGTGTTTTAGGACATTCCGAGTATCCTCCTCTACCAATACCCAGAAAAAAACTCTGGTCTTACAAAACAGAGGACAATATAAGGTCACAGTTAATAGGTAGTAGTGATGCTACTGTAGACCATTTTTCAAGAACTTTAAAATCTAAAGACATGGTTATGCAGCAACTACCAGGTCAACTGGTGGGAAAAAATGACCAAAAGCCATCGATCTAACAAAACAGGTTCTTTGAAGAAAAAAGGAAACAGCGGATAATGTTTAGCTCCAATTAAAGTGTTTTAAAAGTTTTACCAGAGAACGAGCTGAATTTTGTACCTGTAAAGTACTTTCCAAAGTTAATCTGAAGAAAACATTTTACTGTGGTCAGAAGAAACATGCTCGTACCCCCAGTGGTTGGGGGGAGAGGGGCAGAAGAGAGAGAGAGCACTGTAACGTTGTATACTTTTAAATCTATTCAGAACAGTCCAATGGCTTTGTTACCCCACATGGCTATTGCAAAAGATGCTACTAAATTGATGGAAAGTTGCCAAAGCCTGTCAACAGCTTTAGAACCAAAGCCGTAGTGGCAACTGGTTTACAGAATGAATGGGCTAGTCAGTGACTAGAGCAGCTGAAAGCTATGTACAATTAACAACGTTTGTCAACCTACAGTGTTGGCCACAGAATATATAATGTCTCAGCTTCTAGCTTCTGGCACCTTAAGACCCCGCATGACCTGAAACAAAACATGCACCAATACCCATTGCTATTGAGCACAATGATACATTTTAGCAATAATGGCATGGCTGTAATGTAACTGCTAATCAGTGTCAATCTTCTGGAACAATCCTGCTAATATTAGCATCACAACCATTCAAATACAGCTAGCATTGCTGAGATACATAATAAAGTTCTTGCTAACACTAACTTACTTTGTAGAGCAATGAAAACTGGGGTATGGGCTGGGGAGAAATCTTTCCCATCAATAATGCTGCTAATCCTTATTTGAACCCTTTGAAAATTTTAATGCAGTAAAAGTAATTGCTGCATAGTGCATTGTAATCGAGGACTAATTTAATAAATGATTTTTGTACAGATTGTAGTAATGTTTTTGTTAACCTCTTGCAATAAGAAGACACGTACCTTCAAATAGCTGGTCAGTGGGCTTGAATGCTACTGTCTTTAATGAGATCACCATATACGGGCATGCATAAAAATGAAAATGCTGCTTTTTACTTGCATCCAGTCAATTAATGTCAGAAGAGCATTTTGTTTGCAGTTCAGGCAAGAAATCCTGCCAAATCAGTGTTACGCTATTTACAACATAGCAGTTCTTCAACCAGTTACCTTTGGATGAATTATTTGGTAAAAGCAAAATGGATAATATAAAGGAAAGTCAAAGGAGGTTTCATTAAATAAATTTATTTGTTAAAATAATTTAACTCCAAATACAACTGCTGAGTTTGCATTGAGTTCTATGTACAATTCTTGTTTTATTTGAAACATCAAGGTTTAAACAACTGACATGGTTACAAAACAAACTGTTGCTCCATTTTTAAGTGGTCAGTTGTATTAGAGTTCAACAATTAAATGTGAAATATATTTATTCACCTCTGGGAAACCCCAAAATCAACAAATGTTAAGCCTGGTTCCAAAACCCTCTTCGGTCACTCTTCAAACCCTGATCAAGAATTAACAGATGCACAACAATGCAGATAAAAGCCTCCTGCAGTTGTCAAACATTTGTTTTGTTGTGGAGTTTCACAATTAAAGCCTAACCAGTGCTCTGACTGCACACTGGTGAAAAAACAAACATGCACAAAACCCCCCAACCAAATGGCTGACATCTTTAGGCAACATTCTTTATACAGGAAAGCAAATCCCAGTAGTTTTTCCACAAGAAAATAATGGCAACTGTAGCACACTTGGGTTCAAGAGAGGCTAGCTTCTCAGCCAAACCAGGACAGAAAAAGTCACCAAAAATTGCTTACAATCCTCTAAGAAAGAAAAATTCCATTTGTAATACTCTTGATCTGATGCTGGTTTGCACGGTTTTCCTAGGTTTTAAAGGGTGTGGGGGGGAAGATTCCATCTCTACCACTATCACAGCTTAAAGGAATAAATGTTGCAACACTGAGAAAAATTAATAAAAATTAAAGATTGCTGCCTTTGTAGAAAAGTACAAAACTCTACAAGAACAGCTAAACAAAATGTGGGTCTTTGGATCAAACCATAATATTTTAAGGCATGTCATGAAAACTTTCACGTACTGTAACTGGTAGTCTGATCAGGGTACAAATTAAGCAGTGACCCAAGACCAATGACTCTTAGGATAGCCACCAACCTTTCATGTGGCTTACTTCACTCCTCTCCTGTTACCCATTTGCTTTGAGAAGTCAAATGCAACGGTCATGGACTCAAGCTCCACTATATTCACATTGGCAGAAATACAAAATAGTGCATAACTACTTCCTTAGAATTATACCAGAAAGAACCATGTTTACTTCTCCCCCAATGATTTGTGAGATCATACATGTTGCTTAGTCATTAAAATGGAAATTCATATGAAAAATGTATCTAGGAAGTATTTTTAATAACATTTTCTATTTGCCATTTTACTGTGCAATTTTAACAACAGTCACTTTTTTTGTGAGTTATAAGATTCTTGTTAGACCCTTTGTATTTGTTATTCAAGCCATTTTATTGGTTGAAGAGCAATTTGTAAGGCCATATTTTAGCATTTTTTGTAGAGAACATTGCTTAACATGCATTGCAAAACGGTATGCCGGTATCAAATTAGATCATATTTCCCCATACAAATGTGTTGGGCCCCAAATTCACAAGCTGTTTTACTCATAATTGTATTGCTCAACTCACCTATCCATATCATTATTTTAGGAAATAAAAATACCCCTAATTCAATGTCTCAAATCTTGCTTACAAACACAAGTGGCTGACAACAGGTGAACAAGGTGCAAAGGCAGTAGCAATTAGTCAGAAATGTTGAAACTGTTCCACATTTTAGAAAAATTTGAATAGAAGGGCCTCACATTTAATGCTCTTGCTTACTTGAAGCAGAAGGGCAATGATGACCAGTTCTTTTCTGTCTTTAAGATTTTCTTCAGCTTGCTTTCCACTGAACTAGATCAAAAATGCAAAGCAGTTTTACACTTGAACTTCATTTTTAGAAGATTAGAATGCTTTTTACAGTGGTTCTGCTGCTGGAGGAAACTCTTGCAAAACCCCAACTGTAATTACAGCATTGCTGAGGGCCACGCACATGCACACACACACACACCCTTGTCCTCTCATTTACACACAAGAAACTACACTGTTACTGCACACGACTGAGAAACAAATAAGAAGCATAGTGGTAGTTGGACCACAGGCTCAGTGATATTGTATTTTGATGGCCAATTTTATCTGTTAAAGTCCAGCTCAAGACAAATCTCTCCAGCATTTAAAACCTAAACACTGCAATTGAAAAAACTTTTCTATACTTGATTGTAAGACTTCAGAATAGATATTTCTGTGCCATTAGTCATGCAAATGATAAATACTTCACTGCTATGAAAACTAGCAAGTCAGAGCTCGAGCACCCTTCAAAAACAAAATGTTTGCTCCCACTGTCTAACACTCCAACAATCAGAGCAACTTTTGAGTAGTGTATCAGGCAGTTAGAGAGCCATGTCTTCCCTCATCTACAGTATTACAACCATAATCCCTATTCCATCTCTGAACCAAAGTGATTTCACATGGTTATTCAATTAACAATTACCAGCCTTATAGCTATGAAATAGCAAACTTGATTTCCAAAGGTTAGTTAGGGATCACACCAAAGAACATAGCCCTTCAAGGCAAGAAAAATTGTCATATTTAGCAAACTTAAAATGCAGGATGTTCATACTGTCCCTTGAGGTTTCTGCTGAAGGGAACATCTGGATGCAACATGGCTTCATTTTCCTTACAAGATGGTACTAGTTAATCCATTAAAGTGTTCCTTGTTAGTAAGGCTAAGCGATATTTTTTCTCAATCACAGTTGCTTCCTCCTGGTCCAGTAAAGTGATAAAGATGTCTCCTGCTTTGTAAACAGAGGGTGGTTTGTTTGGCTTTTTTTCTGACCAACCTGAAGTGATCCTTCATTTTTGAGCAGCAAAGCAAAAAAATTAAAATATTTTGATGCCACACTATGTTTCTTCACTAGCCATTGGTTTTTCAGATCATCATCTCTGCTTTCGCTTAGTGATGCAATGTTTTCTATTTGTCAAGGTGAAGATAAAGTGTGGAATAATAGTGTCAATTTGAAACACAGATCTCAGACAGCCTCCCCCTCTAACACTGTCAGAAGTTCAGATGAAATTACCATACTGGACTGAGTAAACTTGACCATAGCACAAGTCCTGAAATTCAGCATGTAGACACTGAAATACTTTGTTCTCCTTTTTTGTGTGTGTGTATATCAGCATAGAACATGCTAACCGCAAGCAGTCTTTGAAGGTCTTCTCTAGCGCTTTCGTTTCACCACATTTAGTTGTTTGTTTTAATTTATACAATAGCTGCTGCTGCCTGACATGATGCCAATCATCTATATAGCTCAGCTGAGATCACCCTGTAGGATCAATTGGTGATGCCATAAAGTCGCAGGTGCACAGAGGGAGGGATGGGATGACTGAGATAAGCTGTAGTTATTTAACCCAATTATGTTCAGAGACAGTGATGGACTTTCAATGCTCAGCTCCAAGTTAATGTTGCTACTTCACTTAAGACGTTTCCATGTGACCCCCAAACCAGGAAGTGAAGCAAGCAGTTTTTTTTTAAACCAACTTACAAAAATTCTGCAAATTAGGTCCAAATTAGGTTATTTTTAATGCTATTGTATATTGCATGCAGAACAGCATGGATCATCTTTGTCTGGCTGAGCTGCATAGTTCATTTGTCTCACAATTTCTGCAAATAGCTCATCCACCATTGTTTTACTTTTAGCGGAGGTCTCCATAAAAGGACAGCCCCATTCTTCTGCTAGGGCTCTTCCTTCATTCGATGATACTTCTCTTTCACTTTCCAGGTCCACCTTATTGCCAACCAGAATTACTGGCACCTTCTCATACCTGTGATCAAAACAAAGCAAAACAAAATTAAGATTCCTCAAGATTAAGAGCTTATGTACATACACACACATACACACACACATACACACGTACATATTCTCTATCTCTATCCACACACAAGCAATGCAGACCAGAAGAAAATTCTAAGATATGTATTCAACACTACCAATTTTACATTAGAAAAATAAGCTTAAGTACCAACTTAAGCAATTTTGTCAGTTTAACCTCAAGTACCACCAACAAATTTTTGCCATATAAAAAGTAATTGTAATAAATCTGTCAACACGTGCCACTGACACGTTGTCTGCGTACCACAGATTGGGAACCACTAATCTACAGCATTTCATTCATAACATCTGATGAAGCAGGATGTGGTCTATGAAAGTTCATGTCTTTACGACAAAGTAAGTCTTTAAAGGTGGCACACTGCCCTGCCTTCTGTCACACACCTATTTCTCAGTCTAGTTTGTCTCACACACCTTTCCCTTCAGAGTTCTCTTAAATTTGTAATGAACAATTCTTCCCCTTCCAGGATGTCTGTCTGGAACACTTCCACGCCAAAGGAGCTAGAGCTATGATAACATTGTGTTCTACTTCAGTAGCAGAATTAGGACTGAGAAAGGGTGGAAGGTCAAACCTAACCTTCAATATTAACCTTGTTTATATTCTTTCTTTCTTCCTCAAAACCTAATGCATTTTGTGGGGAGGAGCAATTTTCCCCTTTACAGGCATGCACGAACATCCATGGTATCTTTGACACAAAGTGAGAAGACATATAAAACGGTGTGGCACTGCACAGGAGTTGACTGAACTATACTTCCCTGTGCACAATCATAAAATGTGACAGTACCTTTAAATTACAAATAAAAGTTTTGGAAAGCTGGACTATTTTTTTTAACAACAGGTATTAAAAGAGATCTCAGTTTAAAGAGTACATTAATATGAATTAACCTCCCCCCCAAAAAACAAAAAAAATAATACAAAATTCAAAATAAGTGTAGACATTCTCTTTCTGGATGTACAGCCCAGCAGTTAGAACAGTATACCCGTGTGCAGCAAGCTAAAAGAAAAGTAGATAGCTGCAGGTAGTATCACTGTTGCTGTTCAGTTTGAGAGCAGATCATAAATTATGAAACTTAATTTGCTACTTAATCTCCATGTAAAGAATAATTAAAACCAGCAGGGAGTTTTTTTGTTAAGTTTTTAAAAACCCTGTCTGTTACCAATGGTTTTTTAACCTGACAAGGTCAAAATACATACAGTGCTACTGCACGAAGCAAATGGTCATTCAAGCTGTAAACCTGCAAATTAACCATGCTAGGGAACAATGTACTGGGCTTATTCCAGATATCATTCTTACATGGATATACCTACAAAAGTAATAAGGGCTGAGAGTGGGAATTCAGCACAAAGAAGAAGTTTCTCTTTTAATTTAAATCTGAAGGGAGGCTTTAAAAATAAGACCCTACACTAGGACTCAAAATAGGGCTCAATTCGTGGGTCTGCCAGACTCCTTGTGTAACCACAGGTGAGTCACAACTTCTCTGAGCCTGAGAGCCTCACCTATAAATGGAGAGTCCCTCCCCTCTGCATGTCAGATTGGAACCCTTTTTTTTACTATGTGGGTGTGCAGATTTTGCGCAATGGGGTTATATTCACTACATTCCTTTCCTCTGAGAACAAATGAGGCAGGAGCCTTATGGAAAATAACCTCAGTCACTAGAGGACTATGATTCATTCCTTAAGCAAAGTCCACCTTCTAAGCTGAATGAGACAAGGGTCTTGTGGAAATAGGCCATGATCATGTTATGAAAGACAGAACTGTACCGAGGGCAGAAATAAGTTTGCCAGTGTCAAATTCTCGTATTACTTATCTTTTGAAGGCTCACCTTTTCAGAACAGCACATCCAATTTTGTTGCATTTTTTTAAATCAGGAAATCAAAGACATGCAAGGAAGGATAAATTCTAATATGCATAACAACTGGTTCCACATGCTGGGTGTAGGGAATAGTCAGGGGAGCCCATAATCTTTCTCTCTGCAACCCAGAGATATGTACATGTGTTGGTATATGCAGAGCCAGGGAATAACTGGGAAGAACCCAGTCTGATTCTCATTACGCTCACCAAGGTAGTAATGATCTTCTACTGCATGTGGTATCTCTGACAGATAGATAAGCTCCAATATACCGAGTTGCAGGGGGAGGGGGGGAAGGGAAGAGGAGGGGTCTAATTCAATACCATCCCTAGTCCCAGGCAAGATTTGTATACTCCCAGGGATCTCTAGTGCAGCACAATGCACTAGAGAACAAGCTCAGAACAGTCAAATGGTGTGACATGGGCAGAGCAACCAAAGCCAGAGACAGCACATGAATCATAAAATGGTAAACAAAATTTGATGGGAGAAAGGCATCCTTCTGAGCCCAGGAGTTTACCGCTCTCAAATTTTGAAGGCTTTAAGCTAAAAAGTATTAGAACTTTAAAAAGAAGTGGCAAGGCTCTTTACTTCTGAATAATGTTAGGGCAACACGAATATAGTGTTGCTGCCAGCTGCCTCCATAACAACAATGCACTTTCATAGTTAAATGCATTTTCTAGGGCAAAGTTTAAAGCATATCCTGAAAGCGGTATATTGAGTCACAGCATCAAAGAGATTTGTTTTACTACACGTATACATGGGATCAAGAGTTTTGCAAGAGCAGTTGTGTGGACAGTGAAGTCTTTGGAGAAAAGAAACATCACAGCCTGCCCCTAGACCCTGCCCTAGAGAGGTACTGAGCACTCACAGCTCCTACAGATGTTGTATGCAGCCAGAACAACTAACACAAAATCCAATTTCACCATATGCAGAACTTCACTACCGGGTAGCTATATTCCTTCTCGCACTTAAGACAACAACATTTAAATCTATTCCATAGACGTTCTTCTCTACCAGCCAAACTGACATCAGGAAGACACTGGAATTTACACTGAATTCCAACTTGGGCGGTTATGTTCTACCTACATACTTTTGGTGCAGTTTTAAACTAAAAAGGCATTGTTTTTTTCCTAGTCTTAACTACTGGGCTACATGACTATATACTGTTTAACAGTTGTTATGTGTTACCTCATGTAACCACAGTTTAGTTGTGGAAAGTGGTCCATGGATATGGTTTAAAAATTAGTTCCTTCCAAATGAAAGGTGCTGTATAAATTTACGATCACCAGAGATGTTGGCTTATGAGTTCTTCATCCTTAAATCTAAAGATACACTAAAAGACAGAAATGCACCACAGTGGCTGAAGCCATGTCTGAATATTTTTTATTTAGCTACTTTTCAGATTCTGGGTCATAGATGTAATTGGATTGTTGAAAAATGACACAAAATGAAACTTCTGCACAGTAGAAAATAAGTGATGTACAGCAACCTGATAGGAAACAGATCTGATTTTTCAAACTGCAACAGAGAATACCCCATACCAATCAATCACAAAAATGCTATTATAAAGCTGAACCAGTGCAGTAAATTAAGTTAAACCGATCAAAGTGTTTTTGTTTCCTAATTTCATGTTCTGTTGCTGCCATCAAATCTTTCAGCTTCTCTAGAATTCATCTTTGCCTATATTTCAAAACAAAAACTAAACCATGTCCAGGAGCAATGTAGAAGATTTCTGTATAAAAAGCTAGGAATTTAGTTCCATCCTTAAGCTTTCAGCAGAATTTAGTTTCTCTCAGAAATAGGTCTTAAGAGATTCGTACCATTTTTTCCAACTACTCAGTTGGTCTAATAAAAGATACCACATCTACCCAAAGAAGCTTGCCATACCATCTTTGACACATTAAATCATATCACCATAAGAGGTTAGGAGCAAAAAGAGGTTTTTCATTTTGTTAAATACCAAATCCTAGGTCCAATGAATAATTTACAATAAACACTAGGCCTAGACTTCAAGAGGTAGTGTTCACAATAATTTTAAAGGAAGCCTTCCATTCTAAAAGTTTTTGGACTCTAAGGTTTATTGTTTTTCCTCCTTTTATTATCTGTGTTTCCTGTATTGTAACCAAAAGGCAGCAAAGATGACAGTTGTTAAGTCCTAGTGGTATTAGCACAGGTAACGATAACACGCAGAAGGTCTGCAGATAGGCCTTGGTCAAGGAAAGAAATTATGTTCCATTTCAGACTTGTGAAACCGTAGCAGAAAGAATCCTGCCACAGGATAAGCAAGCAAGTTAGATTAGATGAGTTTGTAGAGGAAGAGGCAAATCTGACTGCCCATCTTTTAACATGTTAGACAATTATCTACTTTAAATGAGGTAAAGTACCAAACTGAACTAAGTTGAACTAACTAAATTGTACTAAGGAGCCAATTCAGTACTGTAACCTGCAACATTGTACTGACTGAGGTGAACTTGAATGGTGACATTTCGGGATTCAAAACAGCAAGATGTCCTTTATAACCACTTCTAGTATCCTATGAAAAATAGAGAATGTAAAATCCGCAATAGTGAGCATGGTGCACTTCTGGCCTACCAAATCTCACCACATTTTTTTCTAATTCTATCAGAGTCCATCACACATAGGAGTGGCAGGAAGCACCACAACAATATAGAGAAACAACTATGTTTGATGTTTGTTTTGAGTTTGGGCATTCTTAAATACAAGGTATAAGGGTCAGTCAGAAGGTAACACCTCCACAGTTTGTATCTCCTAAATAAGTCACCAGCTGCTGGCAAGAAAATTTTTTTCCAAGCACCCAAACCTCCCACCCATGCCTGTGAAGTTACACTGAGATGCAACAGATGGCAGCACAGCAGCAGTTGTGCAAAATGGTTGCTGAGCTTGAGGTGTGTATCACGCAGAGCGCTGATCTAGTTCTTTACTCCAGAGGGCCAAAGGCCAACTGACATTTGTGAATGTCTGATGAAAGTGTACAGTCACTCTGCTGCTGCTGTCACTGCTGGGTTAACCAAGTGAAAAGGAGAAGGGAGAAGATAATTTTCACAACAAGCCACACTGCGACTA